TCCCAGAGCCGGGGCCAGTCTGAGCCGCAGGGGCGAAGACTGAGGTCCCCTCTGAGGCTGCTGTCCTCTCTGCGGGCCACTTGAGCGGCGCTGTCGCTCCTGTGGTCAGGCGTGGGAGGCCGGGGCTCCCGGTGGCTGTGGGCTGCAGGGTGGCGGCTGGAGTCTCCCGAGAGTGTCGCCCGGGGTACCCGGAGTCGGGGCTGGCGCTGGGCCCCCTGGAGCTTATTTGTGCGAGAGCTGTGTCCATGTCTGGGATCCTCCTGGGCAGGCCTGTGATTAGAAAGTGAGTTGGTAGAAGACTCGCAAACGGCGGGGAAGGGCGTCCTGCGGGCTGACAGACGGGGCTTTGGCTTTAACTGTTTCTTTCTTCCCCAGAAAGAAAATTCCTCCGTGTGGCGTTTCGAGCCTCTGGAGCCCAGGGTCGCCTTGAGGGCCTCTCAGAGACACCAGGAGGGGAGAGGGCAGCCCATCTTGCTTGCTCAGGAGAACTCATCTCTCCCCGCTGTCACAGGGCTCTCGGGGCAAGAGGGAGACCCAGGCCTGCCCCTCAGGCGGCTCCCTTTCCTCACCCTGCTTTCACGAGCCTCTGGGCCGCATTATGGGACTGGCTTCAGCTTATGACTCCCAGTGTGCTCTACACCCCGAGGCTTAGAGCAGAGTCATCGCTAAGCCAGGAAAGGATTTACCGGTAACTGAGGAGGAAGAGCAGAGGGAATGAGGTCGTCGGCTTTCCTTTACCTTCACCATCTTTTACCCACATCTCCCTTGCTGAACCCACTTTCTGTCCTTGAGAGAAAGAACTTCTACGTGCCACTGGGGTCAGGAAAGCCAGACCCTTGGGGGCCACATTCTCATATCTTCTCACCAACTTGGCTTAGGCAAGGATGATGACCCCTGCTCCTGTGGAGCAAAGACTCTATCTCCTGTCCATGCCTGCGTCCTCCACCCCAACACAAGATTCAGAGATGGCTTAGGTGGCTCCTGCACCCTGGGCTGAGGGCGACAGGGAGGGATACAGCCGTCTCTGTGGCACTTTGTTCTGTAGAATTAGACGCCTGATAATCACATAAATGATGAAGCCGAGGAATAAAAGTGTTCAGCCAATAAACTCTTTAGGAAAAAATACTTAACATCCTCGGAGAGGAGTGTCAAGAAGTCAAACGCCTACCTTAAGCCTACTTGTTTTCCTTCCTCGGGAAATCCGACTTTTGACCCAGAGGCAAGAAGACAAGGCCCACACAGCTCACGCCCACCCAACTGGTCAGAACCACAACAGATCCGGGGGGACTGGCTGACCATGTGGTTGCCCCGTGTCCCCTGTGGCTCAGCTGCCACAGACACATCAAGCCCCGAGGGGAGGCAGAAGGAACCCCAACTGCGTCCGCTCAGGATTTGGGTGGAGGAGGATTCTCCCAAGACGGCGCTCCGCTTCCTCGATCACCTCTGAGAAGGCGCGGAGAGGACACCACCCTGAACGTGACATCACACCCTCGCAACGGCCCAAAGGCGGGGGAGATGTTTGTGCACCGTGGGCCCCCGGGTTAGTCGGCCGCGAGCACGAGATTGAAGATACGCCCAGTCTACTCGGAACCGCTAACGTCTTCCTCACTGTTCTATTTTGTGCACTTTAGAATGTTTCTAGTCAACGTGAGTCGACTATGATGAAGTTACCGCAACGAGTGTGGCGACCGGTGGACATCTGTGTGTAGCAGCTCCCAGCAGACTTCCCCCCGTGAACCAACCCTCCTCAGGCCTTCAGCGCTCCGAGAAAGAAGGAATACGTCCACACAACTCCCGTGGCCGGCCGCCAGGATCAAACACTCTAAAGCAAGCAACAGTCCAGCCACCCCAGTGCATACGGACACGGACAGTTGCGGCTACGGCCTCGGGAAAGCAAGCCCGGCAGCACGTGCCGCGGACTGTCCACCGCAGCGAGCGGGCCGTGCCGCAGGGCTGCAGGTGGGTCAGCTTTGAAAGCCACGCAGCGCCACCCTCCACGTCAACGGACGATGAAGCCACATGAGCATGTCACAGGTGCGAGAGAGCCGCTGATGGCACCGAGCATCGGCCACAGGTCACAAAGCCAGCGGGGTCACGCCCAGCGGCGAGGGGCGAAGCCCTTCCACCGAGATGCGATAGAGGACGAGGAGGCCGCTGTCCCCAGGGCACTGACCTGCCGGCTGGGGCGAGGACACAGGAGGGAGGCGTAAGAGGGCACTGGGGCAAGAGGCGAAGTTCTCACGGCCCCGCTGAAGAAGCGATTGCGCGCACAGGGGAGGCCATTTCGGGGTGCGCCCTGAGGGCGAGCTCACCCCTTCTTCGGAACTCCAGGGGACCCCGCTCACTCTCCCCAGGAGGGCGCTGTCTGAGCGGAAGCCGGGGCCTCCCCGTAAGCCAGGACCGGGGGCAGCGGTGGGACACCCAGAGCTCGTCTCTCCTCCAGCCCACCCCTCGCTGGCCCGGGGCCATGAGCTGAGTCAGAGGCTCAGAGTGGCCACTGCTGACCTTTGTGCGTCTGCCTGCAGGGCTCGGTCCCGGGGTGTCCCTGTCATGAGTCCCACATGACCCAGCTTTCTCAGAGACGCAGCCGTGGACACATCAGGAGTTCAAAAATAGACGGAGGTGTAGAGGTGCCTTGACAAGACAGACACAGGGGACCCCACGGTGGCCCTGACACAGGAGCCATCTTGGCGTATGGCAGTTTCATCCGGTTCTGCCCCAGCCCATCCTGCTGAGCCTCAGTTTCCCCTTCTTTGAAGCAGAGGCCATGGCACGTCCACCCAGGGCTTTGACACGCACCAGCCAGCGCCCCACACCCGCGCCCCCAAGTCTCAGCTTCCCAGGGCCACCTGCCCCCCAACACACGCCTGCACCCCAGTGCTCCGCCCCCGGTCTTTTCTCCTTATC